TTTCAAAATTGATAATAATAATAAGAAATGTTTTTTACTTATCAAATCAGCATATTAAAATGACTTAATGTGGATCATGTGGCACTGATGACTGGAGTAATGATGCTGAAAATTCAGATTTGAATCACAGGAATAATTTACATTTTAAAATATATTAAATAAGCAAACAGTTATTGAGTATTAAGTCTTAAAAAAAATCTTACCAACCCCAAACTTTAGAAGTTTTGCCAGGGGTTTGAAAAGTTGCTGAACTTTTTTTATTTTGCTTTTTGTGCGTATGAGATTGTGTGCTTTAAAATATGATATGAAATAATTATGAGCTTATTGGACTCCAGATGAACCATCACATTATGTTCTTTCCAGTGTTTTTTATTAAATGCTTGAAACTTTTGTGTGCAGTATATGTCATTTTTCTTTATATAGTTTCTTACTGTATGTAATCTAATTTTACTCTGATTTGTAATCTGTACTCTTTAACTGTTTTCATGTAATGTACTGTTTTCGTGTCCAGGTCACGCAGTATCTTATGGATAAGACCTTGATTATGGATGAGGACACACTGTATGACTTATCTCTCAAGATTGAACCCAGGCTTCCTGCATGAACTACAACCTCAGTACCTGGCAGCTTCCATCTAAATGTGCTTCTCACTCTTGAGATGTTTTGAAGGCATGAAGCATGCCTAGTGTTTGAGAAAAAAGGACGCGAAGGATGGAGGGAACATGTCCGTTTGAAAATGTGAAAGGGTAGAGGGTCCAGGTTTGCAAGAGTGTATTAAACAGTGCTGAAGGGTGACCACCACAATGTCACCTGAAGGGTGACTTTTATCATGGAGATAAAGGAAAGAAGGAAAACTGGCCACTGTCAGAGGTCATGAGTGAGTTTCAGGGTCTAGCAGATTTTAAGTGAGCGGGTGAAGATATGTAGCATGTACAGAAGTAGAGCTATTAGCCAGTTTGTATGTAGTGTATTGTGGCCCCCTGGGCCTGTGGCCCCTGGCACATCCCCTCATTGGTAATGGTAGTGACTTTGTGCATGAACTAGACTGTGGGTTTGCTGTGCGCTTTGCCTCAACTTTACACTCCATGTGCTTTCCCATCTGCCAACAGCTGGCTGCATTGAACCAAAATGCCACATGATAATTTTAAAAGATACATCAGTCTTCTAAGTAATGGGAATGTATAGTAGCTTTCTAAAATACTAACCAGTTGTAGATGATATTTAGATTTCGTAATTCCCCCTGAAGCGATGTGGGCTCTTAAAAAAATGTGCCTTCAGACACTTGTAAATGAAAACTAATGTCTCAGCAATGCTAGATGTTGTGATATTAGCAAACGATTGGCCTCTGTAGCAAACGACAGAACAGAGATATTCATTCAGACTAAGTATAAATTTGCATTTTCTTCTCAAATTCTGAAACATCTTACTTGAATCGCATCAGTTTGCAGATATACTCCACTTGCGGTGGGTTGCATCGTCCATGCATTTAAAAAGTACGAATTGAGTTGATACTGTGCAATGCAAACCTTTTCTGATCTGATTTTACAGTAGGTTGAGGCTTTGCCGCCCCCTATTGGAGAAAAGGCTCATTATTGTTGAGTGATTCTTGACTAAAATGACTGGAATCAAATTCTGACTCTTCAAGTTCTTCAATAATCAAAGCTTTCCTGCTTTTTAATGTAACGACCCTCCTGGTCAGCTAACCAGAGAAGAGGGCCTCTCCATTATTTGCATGAAAAATTCAGTGATCGCATGTTGGAAAATGCATTGCAAGACATATTTTGTGGTCATGTGTCATTCAGCTGCTGTGTAGCCTCTTTTAAACTCTCTAGAAACCTCAAGTAAAACAGATAGATGAATATATTTAACTTCTCGTTTGACTGCACTTCTTTATCTAAATACTTTGATCATAATAGCTGGAGATTTCATATGCATAGACTGGCAGGGAACTGTCAAACTGGCCATAAATATATATATCTACCACTGTGCTGTATGAAGACAATGTTGTTTCTGTCTGATCTTTCCTTTCTTCAGAGTGGGACAGATTTCTATTCTTTATGTGCGAGTGTGTGAAATGCATGAGAGCAGTAGGTGTGAATGTGATCTCAGAGGTGAGTGGGTTGGAAAGGTGTGAGTTACACTCTCACCAATGTAGCGTTGTTATCTTTAAAGCAAGTGTGACGGTAGTATTTATTTCCTGGCATATTTATTTGACCCTTTTTGTATATAGTGTGTCAATATGGGTTTATGATATAATGTGATTTTTGTCCCCATCCATGTAATATTTTAATTTACGCAAGCACTCCTGTAATTGTTACATTTTGCTAAATGTGTTAAGAAAAATGTAGCATATCTGATTAATTTACAATCCTTTGTCCATTTTTTTTCTATTTTTTTTTTTTAATGCGTTTAGTGTGATGTGCACAGAATTATTGCTTTGGTATGTTGCATGTCTTTGCATGTCCGGGTTGGATTCCTTCTGTGAAAACTGCTTTTTGTACATTTTCTGTATCAAACTATTTTTCCTTATTTTTCCTTCCTCTTTATTTTATCACTGATTTCCTTGCAGAATGTATGGCCTCAGTACTTCAATTATATGCTTTCATTTCAAATAAATCAAACAAACAACTCTATAATGCTACACTAAATTACTAATCAAATGATTATACATCAAATCATGGATGATAGATAGATAGATAGTCGCCAACTTTCTGCAGAGTCAATAGCTACAGACCTCCAAACTTCGTGTGGCCAAGATTAGCTCAAGAACAGTGCGTAGAGAGCTTCATGAAATGGGTTTCCATGGCCGAGCAGATGCATCACCAAGTACAATGCAAAGCGTCGGATGCAGTGGTGTAAAGCACGCTGCCACTGGACTCTAGAGCAGTGGAGATGTGTTCTCTGGAGTGACGAATCACGCTTCTATGTCTGGCAATCTGATGGACGAGTGTGGGTTTGGCGGTTAGCAGGAAAACGGTACTTGTCTGACTGCAATGTGCCAAGTGTAAAGTTTGGTGGAGGGGGGATTATGGTGTGGGGCTGTTTTTAGGGGTTGGGCTTGGCCCCTTAGTTCCAGTGAAAGGAACTCTTAATTCACAATTTCATGCTCCCAACTTCGTGGAAACAGTTTGGGGATGACCCCTTCCTGTTCCAACATGACTGCGCACCAGTGCACAAAGCAAGGTCCAAAAAGACATGGATGAGCGAGTTTGGTGTGGAGGAACTTGACTGGCCTGCACAGAGTCATGACCTCAACCCGATAGAACAACACCTTTGGGATTGAATTATAGCGGAGACTGCGAGCCAGGCCTTCTCGTCCAACATTAGTGCCTGATCTCACAAATGCGGTTAGAAGAATGGTAAAAAAAATTCCCATGCACACTCCTAAACCTTGTGGAAAGCCTTCCCAAAATAGTTGAAGCTGTTATAGGTGTAAAGGGTGGGCCAACTCCATATTAAACCCTACGGATCAGGAATGGGATGCCATTAAAGTTCATGTGCATGTAAAGGCAAACGTCCCAAAACTTTTGGATAGATAGATAGATAGATAGATAGATAGATAGATAGATAGATAGATAGATAGATAGATAGATAGATAGATAGATAGATAGATAGATAGATAGATAGATAGATAGATAGATAGATAGATAGATAGGTCTCTCTCTCTCTAATCCTACCGAGGAAGGAAGGGATGAGCACAACATGGCTCTGGTGTTAAACCAGATAATGCTTGAGCTGGGCAAATCAAATACCAGTTTAATTTTATACATCACATACACTGTCCTACTAGCTTTATATCCTCTATAGCCACATCTGACAAAATATTAAATGTAGAAGGGTATTTTCTTTGAATATGGAGATCCAGCATAAGGTATGGTTTGCATGCTGGGACTAGCTCAGTTTTGCATAAGTACATTGTTGGGGAAAGTTACTTTTAAAAGTAATGCATTGCAATATTGCATTACATAGATAATTATTTATGGAAAGTAATGCATTACAATACTTTTGTGTTGCTTTTTCTCACCTGGGATTGCTTTTTTTTTTTTTACAGGAAAAAAAGTTCAATGTGTTGCTAACGTAAAGGCTTTTACACACAAAAAGTGAAATGAATAAGCCTCAGACTGAAGAAAATGCAAATGCGTGCCTGTACAGTAGAGGGCGCAGCTCAAACCTTTCAGCTGTGCTCAGTGCTGCTATTCTGGATTGCAGAAGAAAAGGACACATGAGAAGAGTTCAACACTCTCACTTCAACAATAAAAAAAAAAATGAAACTCAGATGTGATGTTTAACTAAAGTCATTTTTGCTTATATGGTTGATTTGGATCCTCGATGGTCAGCAGCAAAGAATTAAAGTTAATAAAGGGAGATTAAACACATAAAGTATATTTGTGTTTTTAACATTTAATTACTGCAGGTTTGCGTAGTATTGTGAGTTTGCATTAATCATTTTGAGGAATAATTTTGTGCAAGTGAGATGAGTAAATGCATACTCACAACTACAATATCGATCATGTTTAGACGTGCACAAATGCCTCTGCAGTTTGCATTTACTCCAGATTTCTCTCAACATGGGGACAAGAAAGCTGTCAGTCAATAAATGGAAGAAAAAGGTAAATTTCGTTACTTATTTGAAAAAGTAACTCAGATATTTTGTTGTAAATTTAAACGTAGCCTACTATGCTACTTTACTAGTTACTTAAAAAGTAATCTGATTACGTAACTCGTGTTACTTGTAATCCCCAACATTGATGAGTACTATACCAGCATAAACCAGACTGGTCCAACATGGAATTCATGCTGGTTTATTCTGGATTTTTCAACAGGGACATGATTAACATTGTAATTTAGTAATATTAACATATCTAAACACGGACAGTAAAATAATGGCTCTTGATGGACTACAGTGGGTAAAAGGGAAGTAGGCTATACAGTATGTACAGTAGTATCTCAGTCACATGCCATACACTGTCACTGGCACCTAACTGGAGGTTTCCACTGGTTAGGGACAGCTCAAGGACACAGAGACGTGGTGTCATGCTGACAGATGAAATAGGATTGGCTGGAGAGATGAGCTCTTATTTTGAGCACAGGCCCGGTGTGGTCTCACTCTACAGGAAACAGTCTGCTGTACTTGAGCCTGAAAGCCATTCAATCCATCAGGTGAGTACAATAAAGCGTCTACTTTAGCAATCATTTTGTTTGTTGCTTTATTTATTGACAGAAATTTAAAGACACCAGATCAGCATGGAAGCTAGATTTTGTGCAGTTGCAACAATGCTGAAGATATTTGAAAGAAAGTTTAATAAGAAAGTGTTTGTTCTTTTTGATACCAATTGATTTATAATCAAATTAAATACGTATAATTAAGTTAGTTTAAATTATAACTAACTTAATAATTAAGTTTATCAATTAGTTTATGTTTAAAATTGTGTAAAATAATGTTTGTTTTGCATTTCCAGTGTACCATTTTATAATTTTTTGTTTAGTTTATATAATTTACACCAATACATTTCTACTAGAAACTAGAAGTGTGACCAGCGCAGAGCCACCCTGTCCCACTGTAAGCCCACGTGACTGGTCACAGGTCATGTGATCATTGTAACATATGGCAGGAGAGTAATTGCATAAGACCTTTTGCTGTGGCTCCACTGTCATTTGTAACACTGTAAACCGCACTGACCTCTTCGGCGTACAGCTAAAATATCTGGAACCATTGAGACCATATTATTTCCTCATAGGGATCGTGAATAGTGAAAATACAATATCATTCACATGATAGTGAAAATACAAACATCATTAGCAAGTAGTCCCTTCTGAAAAGTGCTGTGCTTATTCTTATAACTAACTGAAGTTTGTGTGTAAGATTTGTGTACATTTTTGGTGTAAGGTTTTACCTGATGTCTGGAACATGTGACACATGGGCTGCACTGTGTGTTACTGGGAAAATATAAGGTGGCACATTACTTTGGCATTAAGTTCAAAGCCAATGTATATTTGGATACTCCAGTGGAAAAAGTCAACATGTACGTCAGGACACAGAGGTTGCTCTCCATGTCAAACTACTGTATCAGGAATACCTTTGATTAATACTTTAAAACACTCCTCAGCAATCAACTAATCAATCAATCAATCACAAATATCTACAAAAAATTTACACATATCACTTATTGATACTTAAAACCATAATCTGTTTTAGAATTCAAATCCAGTTAGTTCACCTAATCATTTACTCATCCTCATGTCATTCCAAACATATAACTCTCGTTCATAATTTGCACATCGCTTTTGTCCATCGCTTGTGAACAATGCACATACTGTACAGAGCTCTAGAGAGCATGTTGAGCTTAATATTTGATGAGCTCTATGTAATGAATGTGTGTTGATCGTTACTTTTCGAAAATTCTTGGTTGAATGGACTTTCAATGGATGGACAAAAATTATGTGAGAATACTAAAAACATAATTTGTGTTTCAAAGATAAACAAAAGTCTAATGAGTTTGGAACAACATGATGTTGAGTAAATAATGATTGTTGGGTGATCCCTTTAATCTTTTATTGGCCATCTAGGAACTTAAGAATTTAAACTGGTGAATAAACAAACAAAACAAAAAAGAATGAGCTTAAGGTATACTTGTACCGTATACATTTAGTTGTTACCTTAGGGACCAGTTCTACCTGATTTGTCCCTTAAAAATTACTTTTGTTGGTGAACTCAGGATTCACATAAAATAATACTTTTGTTTTATTTTTTCACTATTCTCCTGTATCTTTATCCTGTTATTATTGTAAACGTTCAATAAACAGATTAAGCATATGTATAAATATAATTTGAATAAAAACATAAAGATATTTCTTAATTTTGTCCTCTGCTCTGAAGTTCAGGTGTGTGAGTGAGTGAGTAGTGGCGATGGCAAGCATGTTCACTCGAATGCTTTCGGGACGCAACACGGCTGTGATCATGGCCAGCCTGGGCGCAGGTACCCTGGTATCCAGCTATGTCATGATGACTGAGTCAGGAGTCTCTGCTGGGGAGAAAAAGAAGCTGTACCCACCCAGGTGAAGGATTCAGTTGCCTTTCGGTTACTCTCTACACCTTCACTTAGTTTCCAGTTAACCTGAGAATATCTGTTTGTCCAACGCTACAACCCAGAAACAATTTAATGTCATTTTCTCTTGATCTTTCCAAGTGCTGACTACCCAGACCTGCGCAAACACAACAACTGCATGGCTGCTGCTTTGACCCCTGCTATTTATGGCCATCTGAGGGACAAGCTGACCCCTAATAACTGGAGTCTTGACCAATGCATTCAGACTGGAGTGGACAACCCTGGTCATCCCTTCATCAAGACTGTGGGCATGGTGGCTGGTGATGAGGAGAGCTATGAGGTACATTGGACCAAATGTGAATAAAAATAGATTTGGCCCACATCTAGTATACATGGAATCCACACGTACCAGATGTGGGCCGACGCTATGTTGCTGTCTTTTCAGGACTGTTCTTTGGGGAACCAAAAATGGTTCTTCTATGGCATCACTGCAAATAACAAAAAACAAACAAAAAAAAACAAAAACATTTAGAACCTTTACTTTTAAGAGTGTATATTGATATTGTATAGTAAATAATCATGATTTAATTGTTCATGGTCAACTATGTCAATTAGTGGCATCAAAATGAATTGTGCTTGCAATCTTCTGCATAAGTACTTGAACTTTATCCTTGACTATGGTTGTGATTCTCAGGTGTTTGCTGAAATCTTTGACCCAGTCATTAAGGACAGGCACAATGGCTATGACCCTACAACCATGAAGCACCCAACAGACCTGGACAGCTCAAAGGTAAAGCCTTCCTCTTGTGTCTTTGGTTCTGAACCTTTAACAAAACCTTATTCCATCAAGAATATGCAAGATGAGACTTGCCTCAGTTTAGTCTAGTTAGTTACATTAAACACTGAATGGTTGTACTGATGGCCTTTGAACAGATCAGCTCCGGGATGTTCGACGAGAACTATGTGCTGTCATCACGTGTGCGTACAGGGCGCAGTGTCCGTGGACTCAGTCTGCCACCGGCTTGCACCCGCGCTGAACGCCGTGAGGTGGAGCGTGTGGTGGTCCAGGCTCTTTCTGGACTGAAAGAGGATTTGGCGGGCAAATACTACAGCCTGACAGAAATGACTGAGAAGGAGCAGCAGCAGTTGATTGATGTAAGTAGTACACACAATAGAAACATGTTCCAGCTTACCCAGACAGCAACATAGTGTCTGCCCAGATCCGGATGTGGCAGACACAGATGCGTGTCAGTTGCATTTATCCAGTAAATCACTGGTTTGCAACTTTTACAGACACAGTTGACTCTCATAATCTCAGCTGACCTAGGTTATTGATTATACCAATTAAAATGTTAACTAACATTATTATGTAATACAGTGATTGTCAAAAATCATGTAAATCCAAATATAGTTAGATTATTTTTTTTATTATAATTTATGTTGGTTCATTCTATGCTATAGAGTTCTGCAGTGATGGAGTATTTTTGTTGGCCAACCCAGAAGTTAGCATCCCCCTAGTTTCCTTGAAAAATAAAAACCTAATAGGATTTTTCCATTGGCATTTGGATTATTGCAGAAAATAAGCTCTGTGACCAACAAAGGTTTATTACACATATTGTTCATCATGGTAATCTTCACAAATGAATGCAACTTCTATGAATTCTGAAGCCTGTATAATCACCATGGTCACATTATGTTTCTGACAACTCTTTCAGTCTTTTTTTTTAAGACACATTTTCCCTGAGTTAAAATAGTTTAAAAGAGCGCAATTGTAAACACAACAATGAGGTTGTGAAAACGGACTAGTGAGTAGATGAGTTTACCTGTTCAGTGTGATCATGTGATGTGTCTGCTACAACCTCTTCCATTCAACCACTTGTTAGAAATCACCTTTTCAAGAAGGTAAAAGCTTTAAAAAAAAAATCACAAAGGGGTTTTACAGATGTATTTTATGTTGTAGAATAAAACATGAAAATATCTTGGTTTGTGTTCACCACAGACCTTATTTCAGGCATTTAACTAATAACATATTGACTTGACACAATCGTAAGTGCTAAAATGCTAACTCGTTTCCAGGTTTTTTGGCCTACAAAAATTGTTATCCCTGCAGCACTCTATTCTGCCTGGTATACAAACATAGTAATGTTGTTCACCAGAAACACATATAAAGTTGGTTATCCAGCATAAACTTAACTAAGAAGTCTTGCTGGTTTAGCTACTTTTAAGGACACTAGCCCTAGCTCAGTATCCAAAATATCCAAAACGCTGTACATGCTCGTTTTTTCTACAGGGTAGTTGCATATTGCAATTCTCTAACAAACCTCACTGCTCTTGTCTTATGGTGGCCTACCAAAGGAGCACTTCCTCTTTGATAAGCCAGTGTCTCCTCTCCTCACTTCAGCTGGTATGGCAAGAGATTGGCCAGATGCTCGTGGGATTTGGTAAGGCTGAGGAACTACTGACCCGCAGTTAGAGCATAGCACTCTTTCCCTTTAGCACATCCTTTACTAGTCACCCATAAGCTGACTCAAATATTCTCAGCTAAATGTCAGTTTGAGGATCTACTTTCTTTCTAGCTATATTCCAGTGCCAGAGAGGCATTTTATACATAATAATGACCATTTTTTTATTATGTATTTATATATTGTCCACATTAAAAATTCAATGTATAAATGTAGAACATTTTAAAATGCAGTATCATTCATGTAAAAATAAAGAAAATAATTGTTTACACTTAAAGGTGCTCTATGTAACTTTTCTAAAATGAATCCTTTTTATTGCCTGTGTGTGAAGGGGTTGTAATAACACATTAAAATGATCGACTTGTCGAGTTTTGCTATTACCTCAGAAGGCCAGTATTGCTATTTCTATGTGAAGTCTCCGGGTCGGATTTACCGCGAAATCCAACGGATGTGACGTGCACGCGCGCTCCCGAGCCTCTCTCCTTATATACAGTCTATTGTAGACGGTCAGGGAGTTACGTCCGGTTAAAGGCGCATATCTCAGTCAATCTTTGATCAATATTCCCAAGACTCTAATCGATCGTAGTGCTGGACGGGGCCTTTCGAACGAGCCCACCCCCGAGGTCCAACTCGCCCGGCTCCCCGAGTTATAGCTGTTCGAAATCGGGGGTCCCAGCGAACGGCGATCCAGTAGGGGGCATCCCCGAGGCCCGCCACTCTAGCGTTCGGGCAAGGGTTCCCCTGGGACCTCCTCCCCCGAATTTGAGCTCTCTGGGTCTTTGTGTTCCAGAGATAAGAGCGATTTTCTTCTGAGATCGTGACGTCACCGGCGTCCGCAATTTTGCAGCGCGCCCGATGGTTTTCTGCTAATATCTCCGCGAAAACACCACCAAAAACTATGGAACTTATATGGTTCTTTTCATCTCGACTAGATGGTCCCAACGAGCTCGGTGCTCGCCGAATCCGTCAAGTATTCGCCGAGATATTTGCGTAATAGACGGTATTGTCTATGAGTTCGAGCACGAGCGCTCTTGTAAAATTTGGTTGCAATCTGGAACATCACCACTAGAGGACGCTAAAAGTTACGTAGAGCACCTTTAACTTTTTAATAATGAGCTTATTGACTATAAATGTATTCATACAATTTACATGCCATTAAAATAGGCTTTCAAACATTATGAACACTTTTCAAACCTGTCACTCCCATGAGATCACAGCAAGAGCAAACCACAAACATCCAATCAGTTCACAATGGACACAAAATCAAGTCCCGCCTTACATTTGTCCTTGTTCGAGAAGCCGTTTCACTCATACATAACAACAGGGAAGAAAAGACTATTGAAAATTCTGTTTCATTCTGACTTAAATCACATTACTTACCGTTTCACTCGGAAGAATCTGTAACGCATGTTTAAATATGCGGGTATGAAAACTTACATTTACTGTCAGAAATAGGAAATGCATCCAGTCTGACCAGAAGTTGGGATAAAACATAAAATGGCACCAAAAATGGCAGTCCTGGCTTCACTTTACACCCCCTTTTTCTTTTCTTGAATGAAAAAAAATTCTAGGACCACTTCTTGTTTGACAAGCCCGTATCACCCTTGCTGACTTGTGCAGGAATGGCGCGGGACTGGCCCGATGCTAGAGGCATTTGGTACGGTGCATGAGACTTGTGCAGAGAGCATGTTCCTGTGTGTGTTATATGACCCTGACAGAGGTCTTAATAAATGTCTATTTTTACTGGTTCACACTCACAGTCTTACAGCACGACAACTACTAGGCCTGTCTATGGATTCAAAAGCTTGAGACTTAGGGAATTTAGGGCTGAATAAAAGAAAGTTTTAGCTAAATTTACTGAATGTATTTTAACCATGATCTGTTCTCATGTCCAGGCATAACAATGAAAAGACATTTTTGATCTGGATCAATGAGGAGGATCACAGCCGTGTAATTTCTATGGAAAAGGGCGGGAATATGAAGAGGGTGTTTGAGAGGTTCTGCAGAGGACTGAAAGAGGTATCATTGTCACACAAAAATGCACATTATCTGTAAAGAAAATTAAACAAGTTCCATTTATGATCTTTGTTTCTCACAGGTAGAGAGGCTGATTCAGGAGAGAGGCTGGGAGTTTATGTGGAATGAGCACTTGGGATATATCCTGACCTGCCCCTCTAACCTAGGCACCGGTCTGAGAGCTGGAGTCCACGTCCGTCTGCCCCTCCTTAGCAAGGTGTTACGATCTCACATGCTTCTGTTTAATCTAAAGTTTACATTAGTGCATTTCACAATGCCAAGGTCGGGTTCAATTCCAGTCAAAACTGTTCAAATGAAATTTAAATGTGTTGAGAATTCATGTTAAATTATCCACAGTAAATGTACTATCTGAAAGACTTTGAAGTTCATGCAAAAATGCCCTCTACTTCATATATCCTCCTGAACAGGACTCGCGCTTCAATAAAATTTTGGATAATCTCAGGCTACAAAAACGTGGCACAGGAGGTGTGGATACTGCGGCTGTGGGTGACACTTTCGACATCTCCAACCTTGACCGTCTAGGCAAATCTGAGGTAAACAGATCCGCTTTGATAAGTCCCTTAACGCCCCTGAAAGTACTTTTAATTGGATAGAAGCAAATTCTATAACTAGAATGTACTACAATGGAGATTATATCTGTTTTAGTAGAAAAAAAAAGTAAATGTTAGAGGTCAAAAATAATGCAACGGTAAATAAAAGTTTTATAAAAATCCAGACAGCAACATAGTGTCGGCCCAGATCTGGCCCACATCTGGTACGTATGGAATCCATGTGTACTAGATGTGGGCCAGATCTGGGCCGACACTATGTTGCTGTCTGTGTATGCTCTTGATGTGTAGCCGGTGATTAAATCCAATTTTATTTGACATTGCCTTTCAGGTTGAGCTTGTTCAGTGTGTGATTGATGGCGTCAACTACCTGATCGACTGTGAAAAGAATCTCGAGAAGGGCCAAGACATCACTGTTCCTCCACCAGTAACCCAGTTCAGGAAATGATGTTATCCTTGTGAGAGGAACTGAGGGTTAGGCAGCTGAGAGACCTGTAACCTGTTGACTCTCTCCATGTTATCTACAGGTCTTACTAAATGGAACTCAACTGAATAAATTATTCATATTTTAATTCAGTCTTGTGAAATCTTTTGAATTAAGGCTGCAATACACTACATGATTTTTCAAACTAAGAATCCATCGAGTTGATGGATATCAAACATGTTTGATATTTTGTGTGTGATCCTTTATCACATGATGCTCAGTTTTACTCATATGTGGCATAGAATTCAAATAATTACTGTTCAGCTATTCAGCCCAATATCATGGCATGAGCTGTTTAGGCTGTAGACTAAGGCCCCTATAATCATCATCACCTTTCTAGCGACAGCCCTGCTGTTTAGCCTTTTCATTAAAGACCTTCTCCCTAGATGAATTCCTATTCTGAAAGTAGATTAAGGGTGTCTAGCTTATATCATCAGTTAGCCATAGCTTACAACTGGGTCTTTCTCATAGCCTATGACTCTCAATAAAGTGTTTTTCTAAGCCTGATCTAAACCTGAACTATCATTATATTTAGGCTAATAACTTGATATCATAAATAATAAATGCAAATATTATTTCATATTCGTATGAAAAATAGTTAGCTACTGATTAGCTAATAGTGAACTATCACATTCAACTGAGCGCTATTACTTACTAATTCGTTAATCAGAGGTTCTTGTTAGTTATTAGTAGTAGAATGTTAGTGCGTTACTCATTTGTTCCTGTGTAGTTATTCATTAATGAAGGAACAGTATTAAAGTGTTACCACTTGCCAGATGTCTTGCAATGCGTCATAAAGCCTGCTTGAGAAAATTTGGTAACGCTTTTAGATTACAGCCCGGAAAGTACTGCATAATTAAGACGAATTTACATCGTAACTTTTGGTAATTATGATGTACTTGCATCAAGTATAAGGGAACAATATGTAAAGTTTGGGGAATAAAGGGGTAACAACGAGGAGAATTAAAAAAATATTTATACTGTAGTATTATAGAACTAAGGCTCATCCCAAGGCGTCATATACTGACGCTTTTGCCAAAGCGTCTATAGCCAACGCACATGGCACCCTTTAGCGTCAATATGAGACGCAGATATATGGCGCCTCCTAGTGGTCTAACCCTAACACTACCCCAGACCTAAACCTACCCATAACCGAAGCGTGTTATATTGACGCTAAAGGGTGCCATGTGCGTCGGATGTAGACGCTTTGGCAAAAGCGTCAGTATATGACGCTTTGGGATGAGAATGCGTTGGGTATTCTTCTACTATTATGTTACAACAATCACATTTGGGACCAATTTAGCAAGAACATACACTGTGTACCTTTTTGTAATTGTGTACCAATACAAACTGTATAGGCTTTTTAAAAACTACAGGGTACATTTATACAGTTTTTCTTTTTTTATATAGCAAAAGTGCAGGTGTTTAAGTTTGGGCTTAAAAAGCAGTTTTAAACAAGAAAGAAGCGTTGTAAATCTGTTTTGAATTAAGTTGTTTTTCAAATAAAGGAACAAGAGGGTAACAACCACAACTTTAATTTACGGCCCGCAATGTCACACTTACCCTGTAACTACATGAAACAAGAGTATCTTTCCCCAATATCTAAGCAAAAGTAGTAATTGTTTGTTTTAGTTTTCAGTGTACTTTTGTTAAAAAAGATTACTGTATAAATGCATAGATATGTACCCAGTCATTTTTAAAAAGCATACAGTAGCCTATGTATTGGTACACAATTACAAAAAGGTACACAGTGTATGTTCTTGCTAAATTGGTCCCAAAATGTGATTGTTGTATCATAATAGTATCTTAGTTTTATAATACAAATATCTTTTTTAATTCTCCTGGTTGTTACCCCTTTATTCTCCAAACTTTATGTTGTTCCCTTATACTTACACGTAATTACTTTATAGGTAGGCTACACTATAATTACAGAAAGTTAGGCCTACACTGTAAAATCGGCCTACTTTCCGGGCTGTAATCTAAAGCGTTACCGAAATTTTTTATTTAGCCAACATATCAATGAAATCAAAGGGGGATTTTCATTCAGTAGGCCTATTTATAATGATAATAGTATAGTCTGTTTGTGGCGCTGCAGGTGTGTTTCGCTGATTTACTAGGCCTATGCTGTGTTGAGGATCGGATCGTTCCAGTCTATTTTTAGATAATAGCCTATAATGTCAGCTCACGGACTGCCTGAAAAACATCCACACATAGCCTATAGTAATAGAAATATGAAATGAATAGCTTACCAGTGTGTATTTATAGCACATGAAATGAGAGAATGAGAGACACGTGCCCTTGTCGGTTATAACAATGTTAACACTTAAAGATATTCTGATTTAAAATCTGGTCAATTATGGACTGCTATACTTCATTCTACGTGCAGTATTTCTAAATAACCTTCATGATTAAAAAAAAAAAAAAAAAAAGTCATGCATACTGGACTCAAGCAGTTATTAGGACTTTATTCCTAAAGAATCGGTAGCCTAAAAGTGCACAACACATTCTCTCTATTTCACCAGCAGGTGGCAATATAACATGTGATGAACACATTCCCAACACTGCAGAAGTCAAACACCATAAAATGTGTTTTCCATAATAACATTTGCTGTTGAATATTATAACCCAGATTTCGTACATTTGTGTCGTCTAAATAATCAATCACGGTGATATCTTATAGCCTATTATGATTGAGGGTGCTGTATTTACTCACTAAAGAGGCTAGAATTTTTTTGTATGTTATTGTATTTCATAGAAATGAATAGGCTATTTTGCCATGTAACAAAGATAGAAATATTGATAAAACAAACAACAGAGAAACGTAAATAACTGGAAAAAATATTTAATTCTTAAGCTACAGTAGGCTACATATAAAGTGTTTATAGGCTATACTTGGCCTTATAAATTGCCCAAACCTAGATTGCGAAGGAAAAAATAGGCTTTTCTGTTGGTTAGTTCTGTTTTAATTCGTCCATGGTGTTTTGAGAGTATGGCATGTCCCAGTCTGAGACCGGGAGAATCCTCCTGTTGGTCACGGATGTGTGCTCCGTGTGGATAAAGATGGCATCCCGCTGATGTCTGTGACCTTCATGGAGGCTTACTCCTCTGCCAGCCACTGCTTTCTGATTTAGTGCTGCTCTTGTCAGGAGCTGTGAGGTGCTTTTCATGCACTGGCAGAGCAACTCAAGGGCAAGTGTGGACAGGCTGGGTGAAGAAAGAGCACAGATAGAAAAGCAAGGAATGGCTTATGTGCATCAGATGTGCGTCGTTTCTGGAGGGGAGCATGTTATTGTGAAATATAGGTTCACATGCAGCCTTCTTTTCATTCATAACTCAAATCCAATTTGTCCCATATATCACTGATTCATTACCACACCCATCCATGGGTGTTATAAAAAAATGAAGAATGCGGAGAAAGTCTTCTGTGGCCCTAAGGGCCACCTATTAACTGAAAGTAGATTTTTCAACTAACACTTATGACAAAATCTCATTCATTCCATTTTGAAGAATCTCCTAATTGTGATTATATTCTGTTTTAATCATGAGACACTTGTGCGTTTTGCTCAAATACACCAGTGAAGAGAGCATGCGTTCACAGGGGGGCCCGAGAGGCAGAGGGTCTCTCAGAGCAGATGCTAAAACTGATGATGATGGATGTCTACATGGAGACTGTTGAATGATCAGGGGAGGCTTGTATAGAGTCTACAATTTCCATTGTTTCAAGAAATCTTATATGCAAATTTACTGGGACAATTAGTCTAATATCAAAGCAGGGCGACACTCTGAGAGTGGCAATTTCAGATTTTAAATATCTCTCATTTGTTGCTCTATAAGGTATAGTAGGCTAACCTGTATTGTGTGTTTAGTGCTGGGTAGATTATTTACAAGTTGTAGTCCATTACTGAATACAATTTATACAAAATACATGATATAAATTGTAGTTAGTAATGTAATCTATTACATTACACATTTTAGGTAATGTAATCAGACTACTTTTAGATTAGCCTACTTTTGTAAAATGTATTTGAATAATATAATCTTACCATATATTAATAAAAAATACAAAGAGAAAGAAAAAGTATTCCACTTTTGTTATCAACAACATGAAGTGCATTACACTTTAGTTTAGGGTCCAATTAATTATTAGCATGCATATTACTAAGATATTGGCTGTTTATTAGTACTTATAAAGCACAAATTCATATTCTGCATGACCATATTCTACACCCCTTATTCCTAACCAATACCTAAACATAACAAGTACCTTACTAACTATTAATAAACAGTAATGAGATTATTGAGGCAAAAGTCGTAGTTAATAGTTAACTTAATAGTGAGAATTGGACCCTAAACTAAAGTGTGGGAAATCTTAACTTGTTTAAGTTGTTTAACTTGCATAACTCTAATTTTTTAAATAAAAACAATCAAAATAAACACTAACTAAAAAAGATTCAATATTTTATTTGGTCATGCTGTGTGGCCTTCCATGTAATTATAGTCGCCTGACCAGTGGACGGTTTTTGTGTGCAATTCCACAAAACATTTGATCATATATAGCCTAAGCAACAGGGGTTTTTTTAGAAAGAAAAATGTAAAAGATAAAAACAGAAAATTTATAGGGAGAATCAATGAATTCTGAATAATGCAACCATTAAGTGAATATTAAGTAATCATGGAATCAATAAAAAGTAAATGTAGCCTGATTATGAGTATTTTAAAACATAAAGTAATCTAATTACAAGTATTTAATTTTTGGAATCTGATTGTGTAATCCCTGGATGGGCCGGTTGCATAAATCGCTAAGACAGTCTTAAAAGTTAGACATCTAATTTTGTCTTTAAGACTTTTCATAGCTTTTTTTAAATCAGTTACATAAACACATAGATTGGTCTAATTTGATAGCGAAAAGTAAGACTGACTGCCTCTGACTAACTGCTTGTGGGTCATAGAACGTAAGACACTGTCTTAACATGATGTTAGTCCAACCGGCATTACAAGGCGCTTTTGCCAAAGCGTCTATATCCAACGCACATGGCACCCTTTAGCGTCAATATGAGACGCAGATATATGGCGCCTCCTAGTGGTCTA